ATTTGTGACATAAAATGTCATGTCAGAGTCGGAATCCAAGGCTGACGGTATGTTAAGGCTACTTTTCATGGGTTCCATTCGTTTTTTCTAAAAACCTGTCAGATAGCAAAGTTTTCAGATTATTAAGGGTCAGATTATCGAGTCACGACTGTATTTAAAAAAATAAAAAATAAAAAAATATCACCAAAACTACCAAAATACCAAAAACGGAAAAATAAATCCTCAGATTTTCAGCTTTGTGACAGTCAGTCTTTGAATGCATCATCTGTTGTGTCATCAGGGAAATTACCCAAACTAAGCTTAAAATCTTGACATTTATTAAAAACATCTTTATTTTACGTCTCTACTTATAAAAAGGTTTTATTAGTGTTTTTTATTAGTGTCACTATTTTTATAAATGTCTTGACTTTTGCACCTAATTTCATTGTATTTTTTGTCTAATGACATTAAAGATTCTGATTCTGATTCTGAAATGCAGCATGGATCGAAAACAGTACACAGAGGAGTAAGTTGTTGGAGATCACATTCAGCACAGTGAAACATCTTTTCTCAGATCAATAGCAGGGTCACAGGCTATCAGTTATTTATGTTAATGATCTATTGGTTTATTTTATGTTCAGGCTTTTTTATTTCTATGTTAATTATTTCATGTCAGCTCAGCATGTCTTTGAGTTACATTGGAATCCAACAATAAGGATCAGAGGCTGCAACTCCTTCTATAGAGGATTAATCAACAACCAGTTACAGCAGTTTTTCACCAGATTTATTGGGGTCTTGTCCGGGATCATTAAAGCTGTTCTCTGCTTTGTGAAAGAAAATAATTTTCCACAATGAGCAGAGTAGATTGAAAAACACAGTTGAGGCTGTAAACATGGAGATAGTTAAATATCTATATGATGTACAAACAGCACTTTTTTTCCCCAAAGTTGACAACACCCATGGTGACTTTAAAACATGCTGGACATGTTGATTCCAAGTTTTTTGTTTTGTTGTTACATTTTTGTTATAGAAAATTAAGATTTATATCTCTTTGTTTTTCTGTTTTATGACTCCCACATGTTGTCTGGACAGACTGTTAGAAAGACTAAAAAATATTTTTGAACCCTTTGAAAGGATTTTTTAAAAACTTCGTCATACTGACAGAAGATATGTTGGAGTTCTCTGTCCTCTGTCATGGTTGTTCTTTTTTCATAGAGAGAGAAAAATTAGCCCACAGTGAGGAAAAATGAGACAGAAACTGCTGGAGTTCAGAAGGTCAGAGAATCTTTCTGTCTGTCCACAGTTCTGTCCTGCTGTTCAGAGGTACGGCCTCCCTTATGTGAACCAGATGTTGGACACCATTGCGATGACAGCAGAAGTGTTCCCAAAGTTTGGCATCAGCATCGACTATTCTGTGACCAGAGATGTCCAAGTGACGGCCACAAGCCTTGACATGTCTTTTAAGGTGAGAAAACTTCATTAACAACCGCCCTGATCACCTTGTATCACCTGCAGAGAGACTGATGCCATGTTGTTTCAGACTGAGTCACATCCTCACACTAACTTCCTGGTTTTCCGTCAGGGTTTGGTGTTCAGGCAGGGTGAGAACGCTGCTGCACTAAATCCTGGTGTGGATCCAGTTTTCACTCAGAACGGCCACATGGCTTATGTGGGCATCTCAGATTTTGTCTTCAACAGCGGCGCCACATCCTTCTACAACGCCGGAGCCCTGGGCAAGAAGTTTGAGAAGGTGGGAAAGTCACCGCCATTGATGTACCTGAACCCACAGAGCTGAAGTATTTTAGATAGTATTTAGCTACAGTGAATTAAAATAATTCCAAGACAGATGAGATTATCGATGTGATGATTAAAGCATCAGGACAGAATTCATGGTCACCTTTTTTCACTGTTATCATGAATTCAACAGAAAACAAGCAGAAACTGGAGATGTCCCATCAGGTTTTTTATTTCATTGTTGTTGTTCCCAGTCTAATCGGAGTCATTTCATGTTGTGTATCTTCCCATACCTGATGATATTTTAACAAATAACATAAACTTCATGTATTGTAGATTAGTTGTAGTACCCGGTTGTTCCACCAGGTGGTGCCTCTTACCGTTTAATGCTCTGGAGAGAAGAGGTCACTCCTGTGTTGGCAAGAAGAGAGCATTAGTTTAGCTCGCAAAGGAGCACCATGACAAAGGCTTCTTATTTGTTAACTCAAATTGAACCTATATAACTTAAGTTGACATCTTCTTTCCACAACAGATCCCCTCCAGAGCTACCAGAGTGCTTTTAAGAATCCGCCAGTTTTTCACAGTGAGTAAAACTAAAACATCTCAGAAGTGAAAAAATAAATTAAAAATGTTTAAAAAAGAGAAAACTACCGCTTATGAACAGACATGTGAGAGCGGAGCAGCTACAACAGAAATATGTTATTCAGTCTCTGGTTACTACAGCTGTTCCTGACACTGTGTTTCCATAGCAACCATGGCGCATGACCGCTCCTCTTGTTGCTGGAATTGAACTGACGGAGGCACCGAGAATCAGCATCACTCAAGCGCAGGGAGTCACTGTGAACCTGAGAGTCCGAGTCACAACAGCGTCAGAGCGGGCAAATTCAGCACCAAAGACGGTCTCGTCAGTGTCGGCGGTAAGAAACAAACAACCACAAATATTTAAACACATGGCAGCATTTAAAACAAACTTTATTACTTTAATGAATTTTTGTATGACGTGCTAGACTGTGACATTTTTGTTGACTCATTACCAACATGTGATAATATGACATTTTATTTCACTTTTTAGAGACATACTATGTTACATAATTGTTTTCTATGACCTTAATATGGAATTGTTCACGATACGCTACAGTATGATCTTTGAATTCACTTTTTGGCAACGTGCGAGGGTGCAACATTGTTGTCTGACTTTTTAACAAAATTCTAAACTATGTCATGTTGATGACACACTGATAGCATGCTGTACTATGACGTTGTTGTTGGCTTTTGAATGACATGCTATACTATTAGATTTTTGTCAACAGGATACTATGACTTTTTTTTTTTCTCGTAAGGTCTTGCGCTGTACACATAAAATTGAATTGAATTGAATTATAGTATGACTTTTTCAAAAACCTTCTGAACAACATGCAATCGTATGAGTTTTTTATTTGCTTTTTGAAGACATGCTACACTATGACATTGTTTGTGACGGCATAACAAAATGGTACAAAATAAAGTTTTTTGGGAATGACATGCTATAGTATTTTATTTATTTTATATTACCTTTTAATCAAAAAATCAAATTTAATCATGATAGCAACCACATGCTCTACTTGGACGTTTATTATGACTTTTGAATGAAGTGGTGTACTATGATGTTTTTATGGATTTTGAACAACGGGCTATATGTTGACGTTTTGAACACTCCAGAAGGACACGCTGTACGACATTTAAAAAAATAAAAAAATAAAATTTAAATGACATGCTACGCTAGGACGCTTGTTTTTATTTTTTAAACCTCTGAAAGACATGTTACATTCTAATTTAAAGAATGACATGCTTCATGATCATTAGCAGATCAATGACCACAATTAAAGTCACAATTTTTTTTTTCATTTTAAAATGACATGCGATACTATGACATTTTTATTTTATTTTTTTACTTTTGTATGGTTTGCTATACTATGCTATGACATTTTTAAAACTTTTGAACGACATGCTATGCTATGCTTCTGTTGACTTTTGTATGAGTTACATTACCATTACATGTGCAATTCCTCAACTTCAGGTGCAATATTGTATTGTAATTTAAATCTGTTTCCTAATTTATTACTTGGTTTGTTTCTCTTCTCATAGTACTTTTTATTTACTTAGTACTTTTATACTTTTGATTTCTATAGTTATTCTTGTCTTGTTATTGTTGTGTATTGGTCTCATTCACCACAGCAATTCCTTGTGTGTCAAGCTCACTTGGCAATTAAAAAAGCTTCTGATTCTGATTCTTCTGATTCTGTGTTGCTATACTAAGGTTTTTTGACCATTGAATGGCATGCTATACTATGACGGGGGATTTTTAAAACTTTTCAACGTGCTCTACTACAACATTTTTCCTTTTACTCTTGAACGACATGCTGTAACATTTCTTTTGACTTTTGAATGACATTATGCTATTTATTCTCTTCTTAACATACAGTACCAGACAAAAGTTTGAACACACCTTCTCATTCAGTGGTTTTCATTTAGATTTATTCTTTTCCACATTGTAGATACTGAAGGTACTGTAGCTGTACTCTGATGTTCTGAATGACTTTATAACTACAGAAACTACCTTTTTGAAAGCACTTTGAGACTGACGTTTAATTTTTCCTGTCTTTGTCTTGCAGACCTGTCAAGCTAGTCTGAAGGTGACCATTCAGGGATCTGCTCAGGAGAACCGTCTCAACCTTCCTTACAGTAACGTACAGTAAGTACACACGCACGAATTATCATGTCATATTTGATTGTATTTAACAATTTGTTTGTCCTTTCCAGGTGTCGCATTGTCACCAGCAATCAGCTTAAACAAATACTGGTACAAACTTGTTTCCTGACTAATTAAACAATGATTCCAGGTATGTTTGGAAGCAGCTGTAACAGTGTGTGTTGTTGCTGTGCAGGTGAGACCTCTCCAAGGCCTGCTGAACGACAGATTGAACAACTTCCTGGAAGGTAACCAGCAGCATGAGGAGCTTCACTGCAACAGTCTGTTCAAATGTCTTTAACTTGTGTTCTTCTGTCAGGTTGGTTCTATGGCGGAGTCCCAGTTCCTCTGCCTAAAGGAGTGATCTTCACTCAGGGCATAATCGAGTATCACGATGTGAGTCTCCACTTTCTTCTACTGGGGTAGCGCCCCCCAGTGGCCACGTGAGGCGTTCATGTCCTCTGGTCATCTGACTGTTGTGATGGTCACTGAGCTGCTGATTATCAAGAAGCATCTTGTTCTGTCCTGGTTTTGTCATTTTTAACAATTCCAGTCACATTTAACAGGTTTTGTTATTTTTAAGAACTTTTGAGTCATTTTGGACAATTTCAAAACTCTTTTCAAGTCGACCTTCAAGTCATTAATGAGAATGTTTTGTCATTGTGGGCCACTTGGCAGCGTGTAGATCTGGTCCTTTGGAGGATGAAGAAATAGTTATTTAGTTCTTAATTCAGATTGTGAAGGGCCTGAACAAACTGGGCCAGTGCTGGTAGTAGGAATGGAACTGTTTCAGTGAATGTACTGGGTCATGATGGTGGTCTGGGACTGAACTGGTCTGTGCTGTGTGCAGGGCTTCATTGTGGTTGGAGGTAATCTGAACCTGACTCCGGCTGGGAGGCAGGCGCTGGGGGACAGAAACGGCAGATAAAAGTTCTTCACGTCTGGAACCAAAGTTTAAACAGAAATACAGCTTCAGAAGAGTGTCATGCTTCTCTGCAATAAAAGCTTCAGCATCAGATTCTGTTGGTGTGTTTTACTCACAGATTCTATGATACTGTAAAGTCCAGCTGTTCATCTGCAGGAACATCCACCCAGGAGAACTCATTCACCTGGAGAACACATAGCTACGTCAGCCACACATTCATCAACTCATGGCTCAAAGTGAAAAATAATCCAGAGCCTGAACTTTTTTGCTTTTTGCGTTGATTCACCTTTTAACAATATGTGCACCATTTCTTACCTCTGCCAAGGAGGTTATGTTTTAGCCGAGGTTTATCTGTTTGTTTGTTATTGAGATAATTCAAAAAGTTTTGAACGGATTTTCACGACATTTTCAGGAAATGTTGATAATGACACAATGAACAGATGACTAAATTTTGGTTTTCTGGCGTACCATGTGGTTATTTTCTCATAAAACAGTAAATGCTGTTAAGTGTCACAGTCACGCAGAATGCTGTCGTTGCGCCATTTGTCCACTAGATGGAGCTCTGACTCCATTCAGTCCTTCAGTCCTCACCGCTGTCTTCTCAGGAGTACAGGAGGAAGCTACAGTCAGGCAGCATCACAGCAGGGGGCTGAACGGAGCTGCTGACAGATAAGTTCATGACCACGTTGTGACATTAACAATGACTCAGCATGTCTCCTGTTTCACTTTAACTCTCTTTGCCATGTGTCAGGATGACTGACGCGTGCTTCATGGCGTCGGTCATGATTTCCTTTACGTTACATTGCTTAAGTTGTGCTAACTTAGCATAGCATTAGCTAACAGCTTAAAGCCAGTAAGAAACTCTAGAAATAACGAAAGTATAACTTGAAGACGTTTCACCTCCCATCTAAGAGGCTTCATCAGTTCTGACTGACTAGTTGGCAGTTTCAGATACTTATATCCTAAAGGAGTCTTTAACACTTGAGTTTCAGTTTCAATTGGGGGTTTGTTGCTTGTTTGTTGGCAATCCAGTGGTGGTGGAGCGTTATGCTGAGGACTCGGTTCTCCTGTGTGACCTTGGGAACCCTTTCAGAAGCAACCACAAGGTACCCAGCTTTCACTGTTGTACCAGTGGTACCCACAGTACTGCGATCCATGCAGTAGTTGTGTAGTACTGATCCTGTTCCTGCTGGTTTTGTGTCTTCTGCTCCAGGTGCAGGTGTTGATCAAGTTTCAGCCATCTGAGATCAGTCTGGACACCCGAGAGATCCGATCTCTGCTGCAGCTGTCCACGTAGGAGCTCCACCTCACAGCTGGTTCTGGTGATGTCGGTTGGCCCGGTACTGACTTGTGTCTCTGTGTGTTCAGGCTCAGTGAGCAGGTGGATCTGGCTCCGGTCTCGGTCTCCATGTTGGTGGAGTATTCACTGCAAACGTCCTTAACTCTGTAAGTACGAACACACAGGAAACAGGCAGATTCATGCAGTTAGCCAAGCTAGACCATCTGAACCAGTGAAACCAGAACCAAATCAGAGGTAACCTGGACTGGACTCAGTGTTCTACCTGAGACTCATCCTGAATGACTTGGCATACTGACTTGTGGATAAAAATCCATTTATTTGTGAGGTCTTATTGCAAATACATTGATTTTTGGAAGTTAGGCTGTTAGAAAGACTAAAAGTCTTTTTGAAACTTTTGGAAATGATCTTTAATCTGCTTCATTCTGACAGAAGACATTTCCGAGTTCTTCCTTCTTCTCCATGGTTGCTCTGTTTCCATAGAGGTACAGGATTTGATATTGCAGGTGAAAAATGAGCCACGGTGACTAAAAATGTGTCCACAGGGAGGAAAAATTAGCTTCCAGTAAGAAAAAATAACCTACAGTAAGAAAGAATTAGCTCACAGTGAGTGAAAATGAGACAGGAACAGTAAATGACCAGAAACTGTAGGGGTTCAGAGGGTTAAAAAGGTCTTTGGTTGCCTTCGTGATTTGTTTTTGGCCGTTATCCATCTGTGCTGACAGCTTTGCAGCATTTGACTGAACCTGAGCATAAAGTGAAGCTTTGTACACTTCAGTCAATTTATACAAAGCAACGAGTCAAGATGTGAATATTCTTTATTAAAAATGATTTATTGAAAATAGTCCTCATATTTATAGTTATGTTAGTTTGTGCAAATACCTTTGAGACAGTGACAATGGAAGCTGTTAAACACATCTGTAGTATTATTGATGAACTCTTTGAACTAAAGCTAAAAGTCACTGCTTGGAAGGTGCAGCAGCGACACTGTGTGGACAAGACATGAATTACAGCCTTACTGAGTTACAGCTACAACCCGAAATAGGAGGTTAACAGGACTATTAATCACATGTAACTTCTGCTGTGCGTGATAAACTAATTCACTGCTAAGCTTAGCTACCTTTTTTATGTTGTTATGCTTGTCAGATGTGTAGATTTAGTGCTTTCAGTTTGAACCATTTGCAGCAGCAAGTCATGTAGCGTTCATGTCCTGCACCTGTCCAGGTGTTTCCTGAGTGGGCACGATTTGATTCATTGGTATTTGTCGCTCAGGGAAATAAAGGTTCTTAAATGGCACCTTCACCATCTGAAGAACCTCTTTGTTTAGGGAATCATTCGATATTATGTGTTTTTTTTTCTTTTTGTTTTTTAAATAAAATCATTTGGTCAGTAAAATATCAGCAGGTGAGTTGGCATGGTTTTAGTTCTGGTGGTGCAGTAAACTGTATTCTCAGTACAGACTGAGAACTGACTCCACATCTTGGTTGTTTTTCAGATGAACCCATCTGTAAACTGCTGCTAGTTAACAGCAAATTTTGTCTTTTATTGTGGTATCATTTTCTGCATAGAGTATTTTTTATTCATTTGCCTTCATAGAACTGAAAATGGGACTTTGTATTTTTTATTTCGCAATGCGCAGTTTGTTTGTAGTCTTGCGTTGGTGGATTGGGTGAATTGGTTGATTTTGAGGGTAAAAGTTTTGTCAGAAACAGGTAAAGAATTTAACTGTGGGGTCTGCCGTTAGCTAAAGATAACCAGTGATAGATGATTTACTGCAGCTGTAGCGTCTGTTTGGAGTCAAATGTTGGTTTCAATAACTTTAGTAATTTATTAAAGAAGAAGGTCGTTAGTTGAAATGTACAACTAACAAACAAACAAAGACATGTGACCCTTGACCTGGCGCCCTGATTGGCTGTGTCCTGACAGAATCAGTTCACCAGGTCCCGCCTCCTTCAGTGGTCATGTGATTGGTGAGTCGGCCATGAAGAAGACGGAGGATGTCGGCAGCCTGCTGCTCTTCACCTTCCAGGTCTGCAACCATCTGGAAACTGTTGAACAGCAGTGAACCCAGCAGGTGTCGGTAACCAGGTGTTCTTTGGCAGGTGACACTTCATGGGAAGCCGCTGGGTCACCTGGGCAACCTGGAGGTGGAGTTTGATTGGCCGATGGAGGTGACCAGTGGGAAGTGGCTGCTGTACCTGACGGAGATCCGATTGAACGGCACGTCGGAGCCTCTCTGCAATCCACCTGGCAACATCATCAACCCCCTCAGCCTTGCGGTAACCCTGGCAACATCATGCTTTCCTTTCAAAATAAAACTCCTGCACTGGAGCCTTTCAGAATAAAGTCCAGCTGAATGTGAATCTTATTTTGAATGAGGACATTTTGAACAGTTTTTCCTCCTCACTCTGTGAAAGAAACTCTCCTGTTATCTGCTCAGCTGTCAAAGCAAGAGAGGAAGAAGAAGATGAGGAGGAGTCTGGAGGAGGAGAAGGTGAAGGAGGAGGAGGAGGAGCAGAGAGTGGAAGGTCTACCTGTCTTCCACCTGCAGGGACAGAAGAAGAAGACCTACGCTCTGGTACAGCCTCAGCTGCATGTAGAAGATCTGAAAACATGTTTTTACTGTATGTCTGGACATTTTAGGTAGGAGAGGAGGTTTTATTAAACAAGTTCGGACTTCTGAAGATCACTGAATAAATAATGTTTGGGTCGAATTAAAATAATACACAACAGTTTGCATCAATCTTTCTGAGACCAACGACAAACTAATTGATAATTAACTCTTTCTATCATGAACTGTAGTTGTAAATGTGAATTTAAATCCTGAAACCAAACAGAACACATTTAAATTTTCCCTAAAATTATCTATCCCAGCTGACTCAGGGTGAAGGCAGGGGACACCCTGGACAGGTCGCCAGTCTATCACAGGGCTTCACTTAGAGACAGACAACCAAGTATGATCTGCATTAGCATTACCTCCATGGAACTCCACCATGATTGAGGTACAGACTTCACACGGCATCACAGTTTAAATCAGCTGTACGCCTTTTAGCCTCTCTCAACACCTGATATAGTTTAGTTTGGTCTCTGAACCTGCAGAGTCGAGGCTCTTGGCACTCCTGGCCTTTAAATTTGTTTTGCACGTTATTCAGTAGTTTAATTCCTAAAATGGAATCATTCCTCTCTGGGGCACCTGTTGAAATTAAACTAATAGTCTGCACTGACCCGTTCCAATATCTCATAGGCCCTTAAAATCCTCATAAGGATCCTAAAGTATTCTCAGGCCAGATGAGATATGTGAACCCTACGGAGAGTTCTGGGTCTCCTCCCAGCTGAAAACCTCCCAGTGGAAGGTACCAGGAGGACCAGAACCAGATGTTGAACCACGTGAGCTGATCCTTCAAAGGAAGGAGGAAACGACTCCGCAAATGTCTGAAGTCCTTGTTCTGTCAAAACACAAAGCAATCCAAACAAGACACCGTCCAGCCAACATATAGCAAAAGCAAGACGACAGACAAGATATAAAATGACAAAAATGAAACACAGAGACACAAAAAAATACAAAATAAGAAAACATTGAGACAAACAGAATGAGACAAAACTAATACTCGTCTCAGCTTCTGGTATCTCAGCTGGACTGTGAAGGTAAAAACTACAGCTGTGGTTACAGGTAAACACCAGCAGCAGAGAAACTCACCTGACCCCACATTCAGAATTACTCGCTGAGCCCATGTTTTGAGTATTTATGAAATCTGCTGCTGTCATCGTCAAGGTGTCTGACAACATCCTGAGAGGACAGATGCAAGGCTGCAGATAAACTCATTGCCGTTTAAGTTCCTTCTCTGTTTACAGGCATCAGACTCAGGATCACATCTGTTTCAACACGACCGGAATGGAAACTATGACTTGACACATTTAATTCTCCTTAAAAACATCTAACTTCTGCTTATGTTGAAAGAGAAACAGAACAGCTCAAGGGCATCGTAGTCTTTTATTTCTTATATAGTTTGGAAGGGGCTACATGGTGCTCGGTGGTTAGCAAGATCCCCAGTTCGCGTCCTGGTGAGGACACCTGGGATCTTTCTGGGTGGAGTTTGCATGTTCTCTCCGTGCAGCGTGGGTTCTCTCCGGGTTCTCCAGCTTCCTCCCACAGACCAAAAACATGTTGAGGTTAATTGATGATTCTAAATTGTCTGTTGGTGTGAATGTGAATGCGTCAGATTGGCGATCTGTCCAGGGTGTCCCCTGCCTTCGCCTTGAGTCAGCTGGGATAGACTCCAGCCCCCCGTGACCCTAGTGAGGATGAAGCGGGGTATAGATAATGGATGGATGAAGTATTCATAGTTTCCAGACACACACACACTGAGCAGAAAGCTCCATCTCTGTGTAAAGTCATTTAAATATCAAAAGATTCTAAATTAAAATCCCCTAACTGTAATCAGATTACTTCTAAGAGTTGAGTACTGTCTGTGACATCAGGCTAGAAACTACTAGTTTAGATTCTATATTAAATTCAGGCCCCACAGCTGGAGCTCAATAAATCAGTCCAGCTTCCATGACTGAGATTCTTTGATGTCTCCAGTCCTTCTTATGTCCACCTTTATCTCTGATGACAGACTCAATCCTCTTCAGCATGGAGGACACCAGAGTCCACTCATTTCTGCTCACATGTCCTCACATTCTTCACACGCTGTTTCATTCAGCTGCTCGTTGCTGGAGGGCTTGTGTTGCTCTACTGTTCTCTGTAAAATCCCCCTGAGGTGTTCTGTTGGATTCCTTTTGCTCTGAGCAGCAACAAGGTTTTTCTTTTTTTCATGTCCTCCGTCCATAGATGTGATGTTCTGAAGCGTCTTTTCACATAAACTCTGATTTCCGTCCGTGGAGTCATTTTCGGAGGACGACCACTGCAGCTCTGATTAGTGGTACCATGGCTCCTTCTATATCTCCTTAGTGCTGCTGACACTGTGTTTCACTGATTTTTAGTTGTTCACAGATCTTTAGTCTCAGTTTAGTTTCAGTGATCACAGCTGGATTCACTTTGGCTGCTTTGAGTTTCTACTTTGGGGGCAAAATTTTCAAAATAGTCTTTATAAAGGATTTTTCCCTCATTATTCATCAGAAGAAATACTCGGCTGTTCAACTTAAAAGCACATGATTAATATGAGGTGAGAATCATTAAACATCGAAAGGATATTTAAAAGGGCTGTACTCACTGTTGTTGTAAATTGTATATCTGCTTGTTGTGCATGATGAAACATCATTCTACAGGTGATGTGCAGCGTAGAGAGAAGAAGTTTGCAAAACTGTAAATACAGTCGTGACTCGATAATCCGACACTAAATGCAAAACCTTCTTGTATGTCGGATAGCAAGGCTGTTTGATTGTCAAGACGGAGGTCGAGATACAAGGAGGGCTTGATGCTTGATGGGTAATTTGTTTTTAATATTCATTGTTTATAGTTGTTATAATGACTACTGTATTGTTAGAACACTACACATCGCTGGATTTCACACCTAATTGACCGGTGCGATTGTTCACGGGCCCGTCGGTTGACATCAAAGGTAAATACGTTCAGACAGCAGGCTGAAGTGACCCAAATCCGATTTTTTTTTTTTATCCTCTGCAACCGGTATCTGGTCTTTTCATGACAGCCTGAACAACACAGATCCAATTAATGATGAATATCAGAATATTCGGTACAGTTGGGGGGACCACTTGCACCCCGGAGGAGCGCTCCAATGGGGTGGAAGTGGTCGGAACGCACAGGCAGTACTTGGCTGCTGATGCTAGTTTAGTTAGTGGTCACAGTTCTGTTTCCACCATCGGTGGCGGTGGGGGAGCGGCAGATACAATCCACTGTTACCATCCGTGTTTACTTCCATAAACACAGAGCATGCTCGCTGCGTGTGACGTCATCGTGTCCTCTTCTGCGCATGCGGGACACTTTTGGGTCGTATGAAGTTCACACAGCAGATCACATACAAGTCGTATTTAATTGGAAATGTGAACGAACTCGCAAAAAAATCGGATTTTACAAAAAATCCAAATTGAGCATTAAGTCCCTCAGTCTGAGCGTAGCCAATCTGTGGGATTGTTCAGTCAGATAATACGCCGTTATCCTTACTTGTGACATAAAATGTCATGTCAGAGTCGGAATCCAAGGCTGTCGGTATGTGAAGGATATCTTTAATGGGTTCCGTTTGTTTTTCCTAAAACCCTGTCGGATAGCAAGGTTTAGGATCGTTAAAGGTCGGATTATCGAGTCACAACTGTACGTAAATAACTACAGTATGTGGACCCTCCATTTTGTCCAGTGTTGGTAACACCTGTGGACACTTGAAGCATGTTGTGAAGAACATTAAGATTTTTTCTTCTATTTCATGACTCCTACACATTGTCTAATTTGTTAGACATGATTTTATAACTGTGTCATGCTGTCAAAACACATTTCTGAGTTCTCTCTCCTTCTTCTTCATAGCTGTTCTGTTTCCATCGAGGTGCAGGACTTTATGCTGCAGTGAAAATTGTGCCATAGTGGGAAAAAAACGTGATCTCGTCAGAGGAGGGTCTGTGTTAAAATAATTCTGTGTTATGATTACAGGATCTTTGTGAAAAGTCTATGAGTTAATGCTGTAAATATACATTAACTCTATAGTGAGCGTGAGATAAGAACAAGATGTCCTTAGCGGGGAGTCAAGACTTCATGCCTCATCGCACCCATTTGCAGGAAGTTGTTTTCTGAAGAACTAATGCTTCATGCTTTTATCACTTGTCACTTGTTCAGAGTCTGTACTGTCCATCTTGGCTCATTGCTGCAAGTAAAACTTTGCTTTGACTGAAGAGACGACTGAGCAGTGAGGACTCCACTGAAAAATTCTCCTAACCGTCTGTGTGCTGGTCACTATCTGATCGCTGAGAACACACCTGTCCATGTGTGAATTCACTCACTGATCCACTCTGAGTCAATAAGGAAGAACGTCTGATAAAACAGATGCAGTGTGGATGCAGCTTCATGTCCTTATTTAGTCAAATGTTGAGTCCGTGAAGCTGCAGCGTCATGTGTCCAGTCAGTATAAGAAGAAGTGCGTTTGGTGAATTTTGCTTCAGCTGCTGGAGACATCGACCAGGTAAGCACGATAATAGTAGCAATGATAATACAATGACTGCTTTAGTTTGTCTGCTTTGGTTTGTTACAAACTGTTCACATCTGTTGTGCTGCTGTTTCTAACTTTTTCATTCATGTGCACCAAAGTTTTTTCTACTGAGTCACAAATTTTAGCATTTTATCAGTTTTTACACTCATCAATCATTTCTCAAGTCAAGACATGAAGCCAGCTTTGTGGTAAATGTTGTCATTTCTGACTCCTCACTGTGTTGGTTTGTTGCTGCTCAAACTAAAAGGTTCTTTTTTTTGTGTGTGTGTGTATCTGCTTGTGTTCGTCACTTCTTCTTCTTCTTGTGTTTCAGGTTTGTGTCTCAGGATGACCTCCAGCGTGTTCTCCGTCTTCTTCCTCCTCGCCTCTCTGGTTTTCTGCGTCTCGGCGGTCGATCCTGCCGGCGTTAAAATCAGAATCACCAACCAGGCGCTGGACATGTGTAAGACTCACAAATTATTCATCTTGTTGTTGTTCATCTGCATGTCTGTGGGGTGACTGAAAGTTCTCTGGTACGGTTTGATCAGCTGTTTGGTTACAGAAACGTTGACTCAATGTTCTCTTTATCAGTTTTCTTTGTTCTCTGAATGTGGTTCCACAGTGAACCTCCAGGCTCAGGCTATTATCCAGGAGCGGCTGCTCAACAGACCCTTTGAAACCTTACAGTATGGACCCTGCAGCATCAACGCGTGAGGAGCTTCACTCACCTGCTGCTTCTCATTTATAGAACCACAAACACAGCTGAGTCCATGAGTCCTCATCAGTATTCTGTTAAAATATCTAGAAACTGGAAATTTGTCTTGTCAAACTGACACACATCAAATTCTACTGATGTTAGAGGATCAAATGTTGGTGGAATGTCAACCAAAGGCTGTATTCTTAGTAGGAACTATGGATACATCCATATACTTTTAGGAACTTGTTGTTCAATGGTTCTGATCTTGTGGAAGCTATTTGGTCTGTATGTCTATTCTGTGTCCTCCCCAAATTTAATTTATTTATGGAGATACTGAACCATTAAAGTGGCTTAGAGTTATTAACATCAGAGATCTTCTTCTTCTTCTTCTTCTGCTCAGGTTGACGTTTACTCAGATGAACATCCAACAGGCCACCCTTCGTTTCCAGCAGGACTCTGGTTTCCGGTTTGAGATCCAAAACTTTGGCGTCAGAATCAACTTCAATCAGCAGATCAATGCGTGGTTGTTGTGAGTTCTCAGTCTGACTTGCAGGAAAATTATCTTCCAAGATGGAAAACATCCACTTGAGTGTTCAGAGTTCATTCTTTTCAAAATCCACTGCAAGAACAGACAGACCCATCTTTTCAAGAAGGTTCTAAATCTCCACTACAAATGAGCAACAATCTGAAATACTCCAAATGAATCAGAAACAAGAAGAGACTGTTTGACCTGGAAATGAAGTCTGCAGCAGAGACAGTAGATGTATAATCAGTGTCACAATAATGATGATTACTGTTGGAACAAACCAACACAAGAACTGATTTTATTTCTCTTTGTCAGGGATGTTTGTCTTTGTCTTTGTTTTGTGTCTGTTTTTGGTCATTTTGCATCTTTTGGTCTCATTTTGCGTCTTTCTGTAAACTTTCTGTTTCACTATTGATCAGATCAGCTGTCGATGTTTGTGGGAGTCCGTCTGCTGTCGTAACTCTTCTGTGTTTAATTCTTCAGTCAGCACACTGCAGCTTCTCAGTTTGAAGTTGGAGGTGTCGCAGCCAACATAGAAGTGAGTCTGAGCCGAAACGCACAAGGACGTCTGAGTGTCGCCATGCCACAGTGCACGGCCACAGCCGACCGGATAGCACTGATGAACGGCGGCATCTCAGGGTAACTGAAGGAACAGGACAAAGATGAGGGCAGATTGTGGGTCTGCATCAAACTAATGATGCCTGTTGTTTTTGTTTTTTTTGTAGAACCGTGCTGACCGGGCTGCTAGACTGTCTGCGTCGTTTTTTCAATCTCCTGGTTAGTCTTATCCGTCTTTTCTGTGTGAGTTAGTCTGCAGACAAAATAGTGAAAAAACCCAAACTTTGGCGCTCCAATTGGGTGGAAATGGCCGGAACGCACAGGAAGTACTTAGCTCCTGATGCCAGTTTAAGATAGTGGTCACAGTTCTGTTTCCACCATCACCATCCGTGTTTACTTCCGTGAACACTGAGTACGCTCGCTGCCTGTGACGTCGTCGTGTCCTTTTCTGTGCATGCAGGACACTTTTGGGTCGCATGAAGTTCCCACAGCAGATCGCGTACAAGTTGCATTTAATTGGAAATGTGAACGAACTCACAAAACAAAATCTGAATTCACAAAAAAATCTGAATTGAGCATTAAGTCCTGCAGTCTGAACGTAGCCAATCTGTGGGATTGTTCAGTCAGATAATACACTGTTATCCTTGTTTATGACATAAAATGTCATGTTGGAGTCGGAATCCAAGGCTGACTGTATGTGAAGGCTGTTTTTCATGAGTTCCATTCGTTTTTTCTAAAAACCTGTCAGATAGCAAAGTTTTCAGATTATTAAGGGTCAGATTTTTGAGTCTGTATTTAAAAAATAAAAAATAAAAAAATATCACCAAAACTACCAAAAGTAGAGTTGAAGGACTTTATATTGCAGAGAAAAATTAGCCCACAGTGAGGAAAAATGAGACAGAAACTGCTGGAGTTCAGAAGGTCAGAGAATCTTTCTGTCTGTCCACAGTTCTGTCCT